CAGGGGGCGAGCCTCCAAGCTATCACAGAAAGATGCACACACACGGGTCATTTCAACATCCCGCTTTCTAGAAATAGGCGGCTAGTCCGACCTCTAGAACGGATCTAGAAATGATATGCGTAAGTGCATAATCTACAGAATTCTCCATAGCTGTGTATAATCTACCGAATTCTCTTACGGTGATTACCTACGTGCTGTGCTTACAGCAGTACAAAAATCAATGACTGACATTGAATATACCAACAACCCCGACCCTTCTTGCTGACACTGTCGCCTCTTCGACCACTGCCCAATTTTGCCATCGGGAAGATCACAAATACCCTTCGAAAAAGCGGCACGCACCTATCGCTTTGCTTTTCTTCTTGCACGCCTCCTCGTGCTTGGCCATTCTCTCCTTCCGGAACGGCCGCCGGCAGTACTGACAAGGCTTCATGTTCTCGTTCTGCGCGTTGGGTCCCGCTGGGCTGCCCGTGCGCCCCGCCTCCGTGCCGTCGGCATCATCTCCGTCCTCGTCGGGTTGGTCATCAAGGCTTCTCGCGGCATCGGTGGCAAGCGGGATACGATTGTGACTCGGGTAAGTCGAGGACAGACTACAGGACGGTTTCGAGATCAGTGGTGGGATACGATTGTGAATTGGGTACTCAAGGAAGGACAATAGCGCGATTTTGAGATGGGCGGCACGCTGTCGTCCGTGCGTCTGTCACTGCTGTGGGTAGGTTATCGATCGACAACACCAGAACCGAATCAAGGCTCACCTTTCCACAGCACCGTAGCAGAAGCGCTCGTGTGTGTCGAGCACTTTCTTCAGCATGCTGGCATTGCACTTTGAGCACGTGCTGAATTGCATCGCGTTTGGTCTGGACAGGTCCACCTTGAGGTCGACATCCACCTGCCGTACACGCGTTTCAGCCGATCGTTTTTTTTTCAAGTACACGACGCATTCACGAGAGGCGAGAGACACACCGACTGCAAGAGCGTGTGTCTCGCGGAGAGCTTGATCGGTTGGTCGATGGACAGGTCGATCGGTGAAAGTGGACTAAAAACCGCGTGGTGATAATCACACTGGCCTAACGTACAACGCCCTCTCAGATAGCGCTTGCAACAAACTTGACAGATAAAAAACTTCATCTCAACGTGATATCAAACACACGAACTCGAGTACTGTTGTTTGCGAGCGAGCCCGGTCAATAACCTCTACCTTGAACCCTATGTAGCGGCCAATTGTAGCCCACAAGAGGAACTATGAACCCCAGCCCCGGCTCAAACTAGAGGTGCTTGAGAGCGGGCTATCTTGAGTCGTTCCGAACCTGTCGATCGGCCCACGGTCGGGTCGACGCGCCGTGCATGTTCGTGTAGCGCAGCTTTTGCACCCTCGACTCGAGATTTCCCAGCGCATCCAGGTTCTCCTTGCTGTGCCGGGACAGACTGCAAATATCCTCTGACAACACTTGAACCTTGCCATTGTGTGAGTGGTCGACAACCGATATACCGAGTTAAGAGAGTGCGCAGAACGCGTAGCGTTCGGTTCGTTCGTACACAGAAGAAGGTTGCAGTAGCCGGAGGTCATTCGTCAGCGCGCTGACAATATTGGGTGGTTTCTTTCGAGTTGGACGTAATTGCCTGATGTGATACTGCTTCATAAGGTCAAGATGTACGGACCTTTCCCGTGTTTCGTTGAAAGAGAACCAGTGTTAACTTCATCAGTTTGGCAGCAGGTGGAGAACGCAATAAGCATGTTCTCCCAGGTGGACAACTCGATGAAGAAGATTTGCATCCCAACACCCATTCCAGACAGGTCTCCGGAGGCAGAAAAGTATTACGCGTTGTCATTGATCTTTGACCAGCATGTTTGGTCAGTCGGCCCACTTCATTCTGATCAAGACGTTGAACTTGACGACAAGATATTCCGTCTTCATACACACGATCGTTGGAACCCAGAATATCGGCACAAAAATATTTGCCAGAACGCGCGCGCTGTGTTATGCATGGCACGCCCGCCACTTTCATTTCGAAAGGAATCGACGTTGGCTCTTTGGGCACTCCCTGCCACAGAGAAGGACATGCTTCGTTTTTTCGTTAGTCAAACAGGGTTGTTGCCCTGCTACACACAACTTGTGTGTTTTTTGTGTTGTCAAGTAACTCTTCCACAGCAGTGGCCCGTCAAGCTTTTTGTTCTTTCGGGTCACAGCATCATAAATAATGCAGTGTACCTTCTACCTCTCCCCTGCACTTACCAAGCGGTCGACGACGAAGTGTTGGCCAGCGCGCTTGAGCAGATCCCTGTTCTCCACTTCCTCCTCGTACACCTTCGCCCGAAGTTGGGCATTGTTTCGTTTGTCCCACTGCATTCACGAGGAGAGGTACGTGGTGGTATATATACTGGATACGTTGACCCCCGAGCTCCAAATAACCCAACGAGCATGTGGCTACCAATCCCCAACATTCTGTAGTCTAGCGTTCTCCATGATACTGGCAAATGCTACCCCCATAGGTCTTAGTCTAGACCTTCGTAAAACACACTCCAGTTGTGGATCATGTTTACATCGATGTTACATGTTAGTCTCCTGCAGAGTCATGCCAGCTCCTGTGCGTATCTTTCCTCTCCCTCCGGCTGCAGTAATGTCCATTTCGTGATGTATACCTTGCCCCGCACATCGGCCGCTGTGTGGCACATATTCTAATGAGTACAAGGTGCTTGCAAGCTGGAGCCCGGGCCAACAATAAGCTACTTCAAAGCTGCGTCGTGGCACGATGCCGTTGGAAGGAATCAAACTAGCCGCAATGCTCCACCAAAGATCCGCGGGAAGATATCCAATTTCCTACAATCGCAACATGTGGGAGAGTGGAGCAAGTATTGGACCTAATGGTCATGCCGCTACCGTTACGCCAATGGCTGCCTTCTCCTGTACACATACATCCGTCAAGACGGGCTCGGGCACCTGAAGCGCCCGGAGAGCGGCCGCGTTCCTCGTCTGCTTCCTCTCACCATCCAGCACCGCGGGGGACTCTTCCTTCCCGTGCCGTCGGCGGGCATGGACGCGTTTGCGCAGCAGCCGCGCGCGCCAATGGTCGTCGTCTTGTTGATGTTGTTCCGGGTCAGTCATGGTTGCGTATCATAGGTGGTCACTAACGACTGCAGTGCCCCACATTCCTCCCGCTGCAATCAGATCAGGTCTCAATCAGAATAGGTATCCATGCCTTCGGCCGTTGCTGCTGCCCAGTGCTTGATGGCCAAGTAGAGGATGGCATGGTTCATCGGTTTGTCATGATGTTGGGATTTAGGATATATAGAAAGGTTTTGGCGGTTTCAAGAAAACGCGCAACCAGGGCGCGTAAAACACCCCCCGATCATTGCGCCGCTTTTGTTGTCGCACGTCCGGAGAGCTCACCGTGTGTCTTCCCTCGTTACAGATTAACCGGTGATCGCTAACTATCTCGGCTAGCCAGCGTGCTCGCTGGTGTCGCAACAGATGGTGGTCAATAAGGTCAGCGATAGCCGGAGGGCAAAGAGCACCTCCGGCTCGCCAGGGGATGGGCTGCCGGCAGTGTCGGCAGCGCCCGGGCGGCGCTTGCCCCCAGAGCGGGAGGGTTCTATGGCGCGGTAAGTTCTGCTGCTTTGTCGAACAAGTTGTATTTCTAGCGTAACCAAGTTCTTGCTTGCTCTCACCGTCGCCGAAATTCTCCTGTTGCACATGGCGGGCTCTCCCCTTATGCCGGGGCCCAGTTTGCATTGTGGCTTTTCCGATGAGTTGCAATCTTGGAGAGAGGGGACGTCGGCGGAGGTTCGCAAGTTGAACGACCGTTCAAACAACCCACGCGCCCTAAAGTTTGTTCGTCCGTGTGTAGGGTGTCTCCCGCACCCTGAAGCAACGCCCCTGGTGATGAGTGACAGCCATGCAATGATGCTGGCAGGGCCGAAGCAAGTACGCTTGGCGGGTTTTGGTGCCGTGTGACCCGTAGATGATCACGCTGTCGTGCGAGGGCACGAACAACAATACTTACAGACTGCGACGGCAGTTCTGATATTGCGCTCGCTGCAAAGAAGCATCAACGCTACAAGTAGTACTAGATCTGTTTGCCGCAAGGGGAGAGAGCGGGCGGGCAGCAGCAAGATGGAGGAGCAGCGCCGGGTGGGAGCACGGGGTGCTGCTGCTGCTGCTGTTGCCACTACTTTGCCAGAGGCTGGCCGCAGTTCAACAGCTTATGTGGTTTGCCGTTTTCAGAACGAGTGCGGAGGACCACCCCACGGCCCCCCGCCGCTCCTCTCCCGCGCCCCCCCCCGCGCTCTCGAACTTGATCTCCCGTGGTGTGCCTCACGTGTGCTTTCTGCTCAACGCGTTTGCTGGTCTCCCTCCCTTGCAACCCATCGGGGTATTCCGTCTGTGTACGCCGACATCAACAACAACAACCACGACAACGAAGGATCAACTCTCGAGCTCAGAAGTTCGCCGATAGCCCGGGTGCAAAGCCGGGCGGCACAACCATGGTGAAGTTTATGTTTTTGGGGGATTCCGAGTGTGGGAAGACCGCGATCGTTACTAGGTGAGGCATAGCGGCCGGCCTTCTCTCGGAATGCATGTCCCTAGGTTTGTATGTCCCTTGACTGCACGCGCGGGTGCGCATGGTTTAATGAGCGGCGGGCAGAGCACTGCTGCTGTTGTCCCGCCGTACATCTGCTTTGAAGAGTGGAAGGGAGTATACTTCCGTCTTGCAAGCAGGGGGTTGAAGAAGAGCCTGATCTTCAAGAATACTCTTTTTGTCTGTTCGTTTCGCTTCGCAGGACGATTGTTCCGCCGCCGGATTTCGGAGGTTGAGGTTATGTTCCGATATTCCATCACGCACATTTTTTTTTTTTCTCCCATCATCGGATTCTGCCGTCTGCCCCTCTGACCCATATCTTCCACTTCTACTAGCTAGACGACCCAACTGGGGTCACATAGGAGGGTGGGGCTGGA